TTGGAGAGTACCTGTGGTGGTGTCACATATGTCCTGATTGGTTGGAGAGTACCTGTGGTGGTGTCACAGATGTGCTGATTGGTTGGAGAGTACCTTGGTGTTGTCACGGATGTGCTGATTGGTTGGAGAGAACCTTGGTGGTGTCACATATGTGCTGATTGGTTGAATACTTTGGTGGTGTCACAGATGTGCTGATTGGTTGGAGAGTACCTTGGTGGTGTCACAGATGTGCTGATTGGTTGGAGAGTACCGTGGTGGTGTCACAGATGTGCTGATTGGTTGGAGAGTACCTGTGGTGGTTGGTGTCAGACAGATGTGCCTAACGCCTCTCAGGTTCTAGCTATTCTCCTGCCTCAGCCTCCCTAGTAGCTGGGACTACAGGTGGACGCCCAGCTAATTTTTGTATTTTCAGTAGAGATAGGGTTTCGCCAAGTTGGCTAGGCTGGTGTCAAACTCCTGGCCTCAGGTGTGATCTGCTTGCCTTGGCCTCCCAAAGTGCTGGGATTACAGGTGTGAGCTACTGCACCTGGTCAGGCGTTGATTTTTCATTAGTGTCAGATGTCCTTTCAGAAGGGTTGTGCCAATTTGCATTCCCACCAGCAGTGTATGGCAGTGCCTGTCCCCTATGGCCTCCACAACAGAAGGAGAATTCGCAATGTAGGTGAGAAATGGTGTCTTCGTCATTTTACTTCGCATTTCTGTAATCATGAGTGAGGTCAAACTTCATATGTTTCAGGATCTAATTTATTTATGAATTATATCTTTTGCCCATTTTTCTATTGGATTCTTGGTATTCCGAATCTTTTGAGTTTTTCACATGTTGGGGATGTTAGCCTGTTATTTGTAAGATGTAGTGTAAATATTTTCTTTCAGTTTGAGAACTGCCATTTGACCTTATTTGTGGTATCTTCTTTTCTCTGGAAAAGTTTCATTTTGCTTACATTTTTATGTGGTCCCCTTGATCAATATTTCTTTTATTTCATCTAGGTTTTAATGTCTGGAAGGGCTAGTCTCCCCTTTGCAATTTTCTTTTGAAAAATACATTTTTTGCTGGGCATGGTGGTTCATACTTGTAATCCCTGCACTTTGGGAGGCCCAGGCTAGAGGATCACTTGAGCCCAGGAGTTCTAGACCAGCCTGGGCAACATAAAGACCCCTTCTCTACAAAAATAATTAGCTGGACGTGGTGGGATGTGCCTGTAGGCCCAGCACTGCAGAGGCTAAGGTGGGAGGATTGTTTGAGCTTCAGAGGTGGAGGCTACAGTGAGCCAAGATCCCACCACTGCACTTTAGCCTGGGTGATGGAGCAAGACCCTGTCTCAAAGAAAAAAAAGTTTTCCTAACTATTCCTACACAAAAATGAGCTCCTTAAAGTGTGTATTTAAATAAAGTGTTACTGACAAAATTGATACTCTCAAGTATCAAAATGGAAATAGTAACATTTCCAAGGATGTCAAACACTGCAAAGCTGCGGCCTCCCTGCCTCTACTGCTGAGGCCATCTTGGGGCTTCTGCTTTATTCTGATTAACTTTTGGTTACACACACTGAAAAATGACCTGAGGGAGTTGTTTTGAGTGGCACTTTTTCTGGCTGTACTGCTCCTGGCAGCAGTTTATTGCATTATTGATGGCTCGTGAAACTCTCAGTTCCCACTCGTCATCAGGGCTGTGACTAGTGAGGACCAGCAAGCCAGCCTCCAAGTGTTCGCGGGCTGCCCACAGTCCAACTGTGGTTAGCTGCTGCTGTGCGAGGGAGCTTCTTCACCCTCCTCTGCGCCACTCCCCGCTCCTGTTCCAGCTGCATCAGTTCCTCATTTGAGAGCTCTTCATGGGATTGCAGCAGCTGGCCCACGGCAGCCTCAGCAACCTCTTAAAAGGCCATGTTTCTGGCAAGGGTCACAATGTGCTTTTGAGGCTGTGCAATGTTGTCTGCCTGGGAAAGATTCTGGACCTGAACCCACTCAGGCCAAATCTTCCACACACTGTTCATTATTGCTGGTTTGAGATACTCCCAAGCGATAGCAGTGTTGTCCACAGCATCCATGAGGTTGCAATTTTTCCAAAATTCCCTGATCATAGCTGTAACCTCACCATCTGTTGCTTGTAGGAAGTGCTCAGAAGTCCTCAGGTAATGCGCTTTGAAGGTAGAGCCTACACCTTGAGCCATGGGCTGGATTGAGTCAGTTGCAGTCATGAATGTGTTCTACTCTTACATTATCAGAAAAATCACTCCAATTTACAGGGTGACGTGGCAGATTGTCTAGTATGAGCGATGCTTTGTGGTGAGATTATTTTGGGCACAGTATTTTTCAATGGCAGGGCAAGGAAAGTAAGTGAACCATTCATGAAAGATGCTCCTGGTCACCCAAGCCTTTCTGTTGGAGCGCAAAATCACAGGCAAATTGGGCTTGGAGTACCCCTTTCGAGCCCTGAGGGTTTCCCAGCGGTCCGGCAGTAAGGGCCTCAACTTAAAATCCCCTGTGGCATTGCCACGCAGCAGCATCAAGCGACCTCTGGATGACTTGAATTGCGGCTCAGCATTCTTTTCCTCAGAAATAAACGTTCCTTGAGGCATTCTCTTCCAATAAAGTCCTGTCTCATCCACATTAAAGACTTGGGGTATGGGGGAGTTGTACTCATCTTCTTCCATGATGCTTTTCAGCATTTCGGGGTACCTGTCTCTGTTGCTGGGAGTTGCGCTGTTCATCTTGAAGTGCTGGAATTTCACCAGCCACCCTTGACTTGCATGAAACCTCTCCATTCGAGAGCTCTTACCATGTTCACCCTGCAAGTCATAAAACCTTTTTTTTTTTTTTTTTGAGACGCAGTCTCGTTCTGTCACCAGGTGCGAAGCTGGAGTGCAGCGGCGAGATCTCAGCTCACTGCAACCTCCGCCTCCCGGGTTCAAGCAGTTCTCCTGCCTCAGCCTCCCGAGTAGCTGGGACTACAGGCGCGCGCCACCACGCCCGGCTAATTTTTGTATTTTTTAGTAGAGACGGGGTTTCACCATGTTGGCCAGGATGGTCTCGATCTCTTGACCTCGTGATCCGCCCGCCTCAGCCTCCCAAAGTGCTGGGATTACAGGCGTGAGCCACCCTGCCCGGCCAAGTCATCAAACTCTTAGCCTTCCCCTGAACGAAGGCAGCGCTCAAGGGCGCATTTCGCCGGCTCTGGTCTTCAGCCACGAGCTCAGCAGCCGCTCCATGCCCTCCGTCACAGCACTTCAATGGCGAGTCGACCGAGGGGCTCTCGAGGGAGCCGCTATTTGCGAGCTCGGTTTGATTTTTCCTTTACTATCTCGGATGGTCGCCGGCGTCGGGACAGCAAGGCCCGAGGCCCTTGCGGCCTGCGCTTCTCATCCGCTTGGAAAGGTCGTGCCCCTGCCAGTTTGATGTCGGGGGTGTGGGGACCGGGATGACCGGACGACAGCGGCGCCTCGGGGCCTCTCCTCGGCATTTCTGCCTCCAGAGTGTCAACATCACAGCGGCGTCAGGTGCAGGGAGGCTGCGGTTCCTCTACGTCCCCCAACAGAGCGCGGGCCGCGGAGACCCGGGCGGACGTCCCGGAGACGCGAGCCCGGGCCCAGCCGCTTCCCCGGGCACCCCGAGGCCCCGCGCGGTCTCCGCGTGTCGCCCGAAGCCCAGTGCCGGGTCCGCGCGGCCGCGGGCACACACGGGAGGCGCGGGCTCCGGGGCGCCGGAGAGCAACCAACCGAGGAGCAGCGAGCCCTGGCGGGGGCCGGCGCGGCGGAAACGTGCCGGGCGGCGTTGCAGCGCCGCGGGGGGCTGGGCGCGCGGCTGCGGCTTCGGGAGCTGCTCTCCACGGAGGATCCCAGACACAAGTGTTCACGCAGATGCCCGATTTAAGGCAAGTCTGGGGGCGCTGGGTGACCCCTCGGCGCCGAGCCTCCCGGGCAGGACGAGGCGGGGCTCGCGATCGGACCCTCGAACGGTCGGGCGGCGGCGCGGACACCCAAGAGGGGGCCCCAGCCGGCGCCACCGCCCTGTCGCGCATGCGCGAGGCCTCCCAGCGGGCGCGGGGGCCTAGGCCCGGTCTCCCACTGCGCATGCGCGCGCTCGGGACGCGCGAGGCCTGGGACGGGCGATGTTGTGCCGGCTGCTGGCGGCTGCCGGGCCGCTATCCTTGCTGTGGCGAGGCGGTGGCCCGGGAGGCGGCAGGACGGCCAGGACCAGCGTGAGAGCCCTGAGTACGGCCCGCCAGGTGAGCAGGCAGGCGCCGTCCGCCGGTTCCGGGCCGCTGGGCTGTGCTGGACGCCGCGTGACGCCATCCGCCTGCGCCGGCCGCGGGGGAGCGCGGGAGCGCCGACTTGGTCCCCACAGTGAGGCCGGCCGCCCCTGGGCCGAGCTGCCCGCCGCGCCCCCCTGCTGGGCGCCCCCCTGCTGGGCGCCCCCCTGCTGGGCGCCCCCTCGGTCTCCAGGCTCCTGCTCTTCTCCCCGCGACCGCTTCCACCCAGTTCTTGCGGAATTCCCGCTGTTTCCCGGATGCCCGCGACCCTGGGACCACGGAACCGGGACCCCCAGCCCCCTGGCTCGGCTCGGTGGAGAGCTGGGCTTTGAGATTTGCGCCTGCGGCGGGTCCCCTCGCGAACCAGCCTTGAGGCTCCGCGTGCCCGCCCGTTTCCGCGTGGGCTCGGCGGCATTCGGCTTTCTCCACCTCCCAGATGGTTTTGCAGACTGTTGTTTGTTCAGCGCGATTACAGGCGTGAGCCACGGTGCCTGGCCTAGCCGTTTGCCCTGGAGTTAAAAGCCCCGCCGGGCGCGGTGGCTCCCGTCTGTAACCCCGGCGCTTTGGGAGGCCGAGGCGGGCGGATCACAAGGTCAGGAGTTTGAGACCAGCCTGGCCGATATGGTAAAGCCCCGGCTGTACTGGAAATACAGAAGTTAGTCGGGCGCGGTAGCGGGCGCTCGTAGTCCCAGCCGCGCGGGAGGCTGAGGCAGGAGAGTCGCTTGAACCCAGGAGTCGGAGGTTGCAGTGAGCCGAGATCACGCCACTGCATTCCGGCCTGGGTGACAGGAGACTCCGCCTCACCAAGCAAAACACCCAACAGGGCTCTCATGGAAGCTTACGTTGCGGAGGTTTCCATGCGGTCATCTTTGATTCAGCGAGCTGCCTGCACTGTCCTTGGTCCTGTAGAGGTTATACGCTGTGCAAGGAGGAACCAGACAGTCAGCAGGTACTAGGCATGTTCGGCAAAGGAAGCAGAATAAAGGAAGTAGAAAATGAAGAAAGGAAATGGAGGAGGGAAAAACGCTGTTATTTGTTGTTTTAGGTGGGGCGGTCAGGCCCCTGCAGAAAGTGAGGGATTGAGATGAGCTTGCTGGGAACGTGGACTAGAAAGTGCCCTGCCCTAGGGTGGCTGCAGCCTTGTGTTCTGTGTGAGTAGCAGGAAGAGGCTAGTGATAGGCAGCGAGGCCAGGAAACGCAGGGCCTCATAGGGCTGCTGAGGTTGCACCTGTGTGCTGTGTGTGAGACCATGGGACCCAGGTAAGGTGTGTCAACTGTATTCGTGGTCTGACTGGGAAGAGGACAACAGCACTTTGCCCTGTTTAAGGGAGTTTGTGTTTTTCCCACTTCTACGTCTTGGCTTTGCATACACAAAAACTAATCTACCAAGATTCTCTACTGTGCGCTGTGGACTGACTTGCAGAAAACTCCAAGAAGGAATGGTAGACTCCTGTCTCGGTGTTTATATTTGCCGTGAGAACGACATCTGATTTAACCAGGCTGAATCACAAAAGGGCTAAATTGTGAACTAAGGCAAAGGAATTGGATATTTTATCAAGTTTTGGAACCCTAAAGATTCATACTTGGTACCTTCAGGGCTGTAGGCTACCTGGTGTGTACCAGCCACCAGCACCGGTGCCACACTGTCTTTGCGGTGGTCCTGGAAGAGCCCTGGAAGATTGGGGAAGCAGGGTTCTGGCTGCACACCTTCAGCTGACAGCTATCTTCAGGCACTCATTACCTTTCCATTTCTACTTTCTCAGGTGGGCAATGGGGATCAAGTGAGGTGAGTAAGAAGCACCTCGCAGCCTACAGTGCGCAGTGTGACTTCCTGTAGGTTTCCTGTGGACCCACACCGTGGGTTCCAAACCCCCATCCCAGCAGCATGCATTCCTGGCAGCATGCATTCCTGGCATCCTTCGAGTTTACTTACTCATTCTGGCAGGTACTGTGTGCCGTTCGTGCTGGAATGACTTGCTGCAGTGGATAGACATCGTTCACCACACAGAAGCCTTTGTTGGCTCGCAGCCTTTACTGTTTAGCATTCTTCTGAGCTGCTTTTTTTCCCCCGATTTTTTTTTTTTTTTTTTTTTTTTTTTTTTGAGACGGATTTTCGCTCTTGTTACCCAGGCTGGAGTGCAATGGCGCGATCTCGGCTCACCGCAACCTCCGCCTCCCGGGTTCAGGCAATTCTCCTGCCCCAGCCTCCTGAGTCGCTGGGATTACAGGCACGCGCCACCATGCCCAGCTGATTTTTTGTATTTTTAGTAGAGACGGGGTTTCACCATGTTGACCAGGATTGGTCTCGATCTCTTGACCTCGTGATCCACCCACCTCGGCCTCCCACAGTGCTGGGATTACAGGCTTGAGCCACCGCGCCCGGCCTTTCCGCCTGATTTTAATATCTTTTTCATAGCACGTTTTTTCAGTCTATTGTGGTCTTTATAGGGATATTTGAATAATGTAGTTACTTAGAAAGTTACTAGTTGGGGAATGAGTTTACTTTGGGGTAATATCCTACAGAGTCTGCCTCACCCTGAATGTTGACACAGCTGGAAGAACATAGGTGTTGTCAGCTACAGGTCTTGTTTCTTTGTGGTAAAATATTGGGGGCTAATGCCTGTGATCCCAGCACTTTGGGAGGCTGAGGTGGATGGATCATCTGAGGTCAGGAGTTCGAGACCAGCCTGACTAATGTGGTGAAACCCCGTCTCTACTAAAAATACAAAAATAGCTGGTGTGGTGGTGCACACCTGTAATCCCAGCTGCTGGGGAGGCTGGGTCAGGGAAAATCACCTGAACCCAGGAGGCAGAGGTTGTAGTGAGCTGAGATTGCACCACTGCACTCCAGCCTCAGTGACAGAGCGAGACTCTGTCTCAAAAATAAATAAATAAAATAAAATAAAATATTGGGGACACATAAATTCTTTGGTTGTGTTGGGATTTTGTTGGGTACAGTCGGTACTGGGTTGTTGAGTGTTTAGATTTTGTTTTTTAATACGTTTACTTTTATTGCAGTGTTTTTGTTGTAATGGCTTTTTTTAATTTTTTTTATTTTTTGAGAGGGAGTTTTGCTCTGACCCCCATTCTGGAGTGCAGTGGTGCAATCTCAGCTCACTGCAGCTTCCACCTCCTGGTTTCAAGCGATTCTCCTGCCTCAGCCTCCTGAGTAATTGGGATTGCAGGTGCATGCCACCACATCTGGCTAATTTTTGTATTTTTACTAGAGGCAGGGGTTTTACCATGTTGGCCAGGCTGGTCTTGAACTCCTGACCTCAGGTGATCTGCCTGCCTCGGCCTCCCAAAGTCCTGGGATTACAGCGCCTGGCCGACGTTTTCCTTCTTGAAGACTGAAGAAAATACAGGATGCCTGGAAAAATTGTTTTCTTGGCTTGACAAAAATATTTACCTCTTCTTGGACGCTGTATTACCTGCCTGTAGTCTGTGCTGTGAATAGCCACTGCACTCCAGTGAGACCCCATTTAAAGAACAAAAAGAAGAGGCCAATCACAGTTACTCACGCCTGCCATCCCAGCACTTTGGGAGGCTGAGGCAGGCGGATTACCTGAGGTCAGGAGTTTGAGATCAGCCTGGGCAACATGGTGAAACTCCGTCTCTACTAAAATGTAAAAATTAGCTGGGCATCGTGGTGGTTACCTTGTAGTCCCAGCTGCTTGGGAGGCTGAGGCAGGAGAATCGTCTCAATCTGGGAGGCAGAGGTTGCAGTGAGCTGAGATCGCACCACTGCGCTTCAGCCTGGGTGATAGAGCAAAACTCTGTCTCAAAAACAAAAAAGAAATTAACCTCTTGGTTGAGCAGAGATGAGTCATAGTATATTTCTGTATTTAAATTTTACACAATTTTATGTTTTAGGTTCATAGTCACATTTTTGAAGCTGCAGTGTTTTAAGTTATTAAAATTGCCTCAGTTTCTAAGACATGCTTTTTTGTTTTGTTTTTTGGGACGCTTTTTGCTTGCTGTTGGAGGCTATAGCTATAAAAATTTGCAGTGCATTTCTGCAGTGAATTGTTCCTTTTAGTCTGTGGAACCATATTTCTTTTTTTTTTTTTTTTGAGACGGAGTTTCGCTCTTGTTACCCAGGCTGGAGTGCAATGGCGCGATCTCTGCTCACCGCAACCTCCGCCTCCCGGGTTCAGGCAATTCTCCTGCCTCAGCCTCCTGAGTAGCTGGGATTACAGGCACGCACCACCATGCCCAGCTAATTTTTTGTAGTTTTAGTAGAGACGGGGTTTCACCATGTTGACCAGGATGGTCTCGATCTCTTGACCTCGTGATCCACCCGCCTGGGCCTCCCAAAGTGCTGGGATTACAGGCTTGAGCCACCGCGCCCGGCCTCGGAACCATATTTCTAATGGGATATTTAAGGCAATAATCTCACCCCTCAACCTGCATCCTGCTCTTCCAGCGGCTGTGGTCAGTGAGAATGTGCAGCTTTGTATTGCAGAAGAAGCTAATAAGCTACCGTGGTCTCTTGTTTCAGTGCCTCCAGAGGGTCCACTTTCAGAAGCTGACTCTGCAGGCCAGACTGACGTTATTTTCCCGGTGGCTCTCTTCGAAACCACCCAAAGGTACCTTTTTTTCATCACCATCATTAGCAGCATGAGGTTTACAGGAACGTCCACAGTGAGTGACCAGGGGGCAAGAAGCAAGGCAACTCAGGGTACCCCCCACTCCACCCCGCCCCCTTCTACTTTTTTCTGGCTTCCATATTGAGCCATACAACATCCAACACCTTCTCCATGTCTTTATGTTGTTGATATCTCAATAAAGCTGGTGAGAGAAAAGCTTTCCAAAGGAAGGTGCTAGATGAGTCTTTTGGAAGGCATGGGAGCCAACCTTGGTTTCTGTGTATCTGATTCTGAGGACCAGCTAAGCCTCTTGTTTGGAAAGCAGAACAGAAACGACGCGCAGACTGTCCTTACCTTAGAGCACGCTTGCCTAACGACGCGCAGACTGTCCTTACCTTAGAGCACGCTTGCCTAACGACGCGCAGACTGTCCTTACCTTAGAGCACGCTTGCCTAACAACGAGCAGACTGTCCTTACCTTAGAGCACACTTGCCTACTTGCAGTCCTTCTGTAGGCCATGGGCCTGTGCTTTGTGTCCAGGGACAGTGTCGACCGAAATCCCTGAAGACCCTATGTCCCCGCGGAGTAGAAGGCGTTCCCCACACGTGCATCAATGTGAGGACCTGGGGGCACATGCTGATTGTATGAAGCAAGAATAGAGACAAGCCCAGGGAAAACTGGCCTCTCTCACTTTCTCTATATCAGCTTGACAGTATGGTGGCTTTTCTTAGTGTGATTCTTTCTTCTGAAATATTAGAACTGGGCTGGGCACAGTGGTTCACGCCTGTAATCCTAGCACTTTGGGAGGCCGAGGAGGGCAGATCACCTGAGGTCAGGAGTTCGAGACCAGCCTGGGCAACATGGTAAAACCCTGTCTCTACTAAAAACACAAAAATTAGCCAGGCATAGTGGCAAGTGCCTGTAATCCCAGCTACTCGGGAGGCCGAGGCAGGAGAGTTCCTTGAACCCAGAAGGTGGAGGTTGCAGTGAGCCGAGATTGTGCCACTGCACTCCAGCCTGGGCGACAAAGTGAGACTCCATCTCAAAAAAGAATTAAAATGCTAGAACCTCATCCTTTTGTCCCTAAGCGTTGGAGAAATACTTTAAGAGGAGTGGAAGAGACACAAACTCAGAAAAATCAACAGCTCCAAGAAAAGTTAAAAGGGCCAGTTTGAAAAATCAGACTGTGAAGTTTTACATTGGAGTACTTTTAAAGCATTTACCACGTGGGCTGAACTTGGGAACGTGGCCTGTGAGTGTGTGACGTTGGCCCTGTCTTCTCTCTGCTTGCTCCTGGGTGTGAGCGGTGACCTGTGAGTGTGTGACGTTGGCCCTGTCTTCCCTCTGCTTGCTCCTGGGTGTGAGCGGTGACCTGTGAGTGTGTGATGTTGGCCCTGTCTTCTCTCTGCTTGCTCCTGGGTGTGAGCGGTGACCTGTGAGTGTGTGATGTTGGCCCTGTCTTCTCTCTGCTTGCTCCTGGCTGTTACCCATCCTTCTCAAGCCACCTTGTTGTTTGTTTTCATCTCTTAGCACCTTTTAACTTATTTAGATTCTAAGCCTTGACAAATTATTTAAAAATTATATCACCGTTTGGGTCTTGGGATTGGCGAAGTTGGTATTTTGTGTTTCCCGTGTGAAATGTTTTCTGCTTGGGTACCTATCAGCATGGGGAGGGCAACAGGTAAAAGCAGATTGGGAGGTGTGGTGACTTGCCTTGCTGTGAAAGGAATGTTTCTTTGAAGACTCCTGTTTGTCCTTAAATTTGTGCAAAGTTTTACTCCATCTTGCAATATGTTTGCTATTCCTGGGGTCACCTTGGCTTCTCTGGCCTTTCATAGTGTTATTTTGGGGTCATTGGAGTGGCACTGTATTTGAAGGGGACAATGTCATGGCTTATTTGTCCTGAAACTTGTGTGAACGTTACAGGAAGAGGCCAGTAGGTCTGTGGGCCACACGTGTATGTAGGAGGCCAGATTTTTCGAAGGAGAGGCAGACTCTGCTTAGGACAGGTGGCATGTGTTCCCTGGTTCTCTTGAGAAGGGGAACTACCCATACCAGTCTGCCTTATCATTTTCTTCATTTCTTTCTTTACCCTAGTTACAGGCAATTTTGGGACTGTTACCTCAAAAACGTTTGCTATTAAAGCTCCATATGAAGCCAGCAAGGTGAAATTTTAGGGATTTTAGATGTATCTGAAGCTACTTCTCAGCAGAATGTCCCTAGCCTCATCCTTTTCCTGTTCTCTGTTTATTTTCAGAAGGCACTGGTGTTATTACAATTGTGTGGTGGAAAGTGTTTTTTTGTTTTCTGAATCCGCTTTCTCCGGAAAATTACACGTGATTGTTTTTTGAAGTCAGACTTTGTTTTTTCTCAGAAACTGGTGAGCTAAAGAATGCTGGGCATGGAGGAGATGGAGGCAGGAGAGGAGGCGCGCGCAGTGGCTTTGCCTGGTGGAGGCGGATGCAGAAGGTTTGTGTGCATCCTTGTCTGCTCCTGCTGCTATAATGGAACACATCAGACTGGGTAATTTACAAACAGGGTAAATTTACTACTCAGTTGTGGAAGGTGGAGGTCCAAGATCATAGCCTGTACAACATGGTGAAACCCCATCTCTACAAAAAATATAAAAGTCAGACCAGGCGCGGTGGCTCACACCTGTAATCCCGGCACTTTGGGAGGCTGAGGCGGGCCAGTCGCGAGGTCAAGAGATTGAGACCGTCCTGGCCAATATGGTGAAACTCCATCTCTACTAAAAATACAAAATTAGCCAGGCGTGGTGGCGCACAGCTGTGGTCCCAGCTACTTGGGATACTGAGGCAGGGGAATTGCTTGAACCTGGGAGGTGGAGGTTACAGTGAGCCGAGGTTGTACCACTGCACTCCAGCCTGGCAACAGAGTGAGACTCCATCTCAAAAAAAAAAAAAAAAAAAAAAAAAAAAAAGAAAAATTAGCTGGCCATGGTGGTGCATGCCTGTAGTCCCAGCTATTCAGGAGGCTCAGGCAGGAGGATCGCATCAACTTCAACCTGGGAGTTGCTGCAGTGAGCCACGATCACGCTGCTGCACTGCAGCCTGGGTGACGGATTGTGAGGGCACTAATCCCACTTGTGATGCAGAGCCCTTGGGACCTGACCCCTCCCAGGGGCCCCACCTCGTAATATCTTCACCTTAGGGGCTGAGTTCCAACATGGAAATTTTGGGAGAACACATAGATTCAAACCCATTATCAATCTTACTGCTTGTTTAAAGGTGAACTGTTGAATTAGTTCATAAGTTTCAAAGAAATTAACTTCTAAAAGTATACTGAGGCTGGGTGCAGTGGCTCATGCCAGTAATCCCAGCACTTTGGGAGGCCGAAGTGGGAGGATTGCTTGAGCTTAGGAGTTCTAGACTAGCCTGGGCAACATAGTGAGACCTCGTCTCTACAAAAATAAAAAATAAAAAAATTAGCTAGCCACAGTGGTGTGCACCTCTGGTCCAGCTACTCAGGAGGCTGAGGCAGGATTGCTTGAGCCTGGGAGGTTGAGGTTGCAGTGAACCATGATCATGCCATTGCATTCCAGCCTGCTAACCAAGCAAGACCCTGTCTCAAAAAAATAAATAAAATGAATTTTTAAAAATGTGCTGAGATTTCTATCTGGATTTTATTATTATGATTTTGAGATAGGAGCTCATTCTGTCATCCCGGCTGGAGTGCATTGATGTAATCACTGTTCACTGTCGACTTGGCCTCCCAGACTCAGATGATCTCTCGCCTCTGCCTCTGGAGCAGCTGAGACCACAGGCTTGCACTACCACTCCTGGCTAATTTTTTTTTTTTTTTTTTTTTTTTTTTGTAGAGCTGGGGTCTCCCTATGTTGCCCAGGCTGGTCTTGAACTCTTGGGCTTAAGCATTCCTCTCACCTTGGCCTCCTTAAGTGCTGGGACGACAGATGTGAGCCACCATGTCTGTCCTCTATCTGGATTTTAAAAGACTCAGATAAGAGATAACCCTAGCAGCAGTGGCTCAAACACAGCACTCCCTGTGGACTTTCTGCTTCTCCCGGGGCATCTGGTGAGCTGCACCTTTCGGTGTGTTTTATATACCACGTAAACATCTTTCCTCTTGAGAGGGGCTGAGGCTGCATTGTGTAGGGTGAGGAGGGGAGGGTCTTTTCTAATAACATCTGAAAAAGGAAATAGCCATTTTCATGAAGAAACTCCCTTCATTTGACTGGAAAATGTGTTTTCTTTTCTCCACAGGGGGACTTCCCCTGGGATGACAAGGATTTCCGCGGTCTGGCCTTTTTGGCGGCAGGTGTGGCCATGGGATTTTTCTACCTCTATTTTCGAGATCCTGGAAGAGAAATCACTTGGAAGCATTTTGTACAGTGTTACCTGGCCAGAGGTCTGGTGAGAGGAATTTATAGTTTATCTACCGGGAAGGCGGCTGCTGTAGTGGTGTGCCCCTGTGTGTGTGGTCTGCGACGCCCTAAAGAAGCTGTGAGCCCAGGCCTGCGTTGAAAATGCATTGTGTGATGGATGTCCTGGACAGTCCCACCCTCAGGTCAGAGATGAGACTTGGTGTTACCTTTCCCAGAGGTTATGAAGCTCATTTTCTTGCAAGGCGGAAGCTTCCTTAACATCTTGGCCTTTTATTTTTATTTTTTTTGGCTTCGGCTTCTGTGAGTAAGTTCTGATGGTCCGTTTATTGTCAGTGTCAGTCTCATGTCTAATTCAGATCTTTTCTCTGCCCAGTGCACCCCTGTCCCCTGCAGGTTGACTCTGGACAGCAGCTGGGGCTTTGTGTCTTTGCACAGGGGCATGTGGCACTAGCAAGCCTCCACTTGTCTGTCACTGGGTATGGGTCTGTCAGGGTGCTGAAGTCTGTTGAAATGCTGCTCAGGCGTTAGCATAAAGTGACACGGGGGCAAGTGCCGTGTTTCTCAGTCGTCCCCAGAAAGACGTTTGCTGAGTGATGCGCTGTTAAGATCTGAACTTCTTTCTATAGGAAAGTCTTGTTTTTCCACCAAGGTTTGTGGCCAAGGCCTTTTTTTTTTTTTTTTGAGATAGAGTCTTGCTCTGTTACCCAGGCTGGAGTGCAGTGGCATGAAGTCACCTCACTGCAGCCTCGACCTTCCAGTCTGAAGCCAGCCTCCCACCTCAGCCTTCTGAGTAGCTGGGACTGTAAAGAACGTAATTTTGTTTTTAGAGACAGGATCTCCTTATGTTGCCCAGGCTGGCCTCAAACTCCTGGGCTCAGATAATGCTCCTACTTGGCCTCCTGAAGTGCTGTGATTACAGTTATGAACCACCATGCAAGGCCTTTTTGTCTGGCCTCAGGGCACGTGCCTGTCTTCAGAGATGTCCCTGACGACTCCTCACAGGAGGAGGGGAGGGCTTCTGCAGCTCCTCTCTGCTGTTGCTGTGCCACCCACAGCTGCTGCCATGAGCAGGAGGGCTGAAGCAGACACATTGGCTCAAGATGCTTGTTGGTGCGGGGGTTCTGGACAGATCCCAGAGCTCCTGTGAGTTCCTTTCCAGATGTCTTGACATGCTAACTGTGACGTGGTCGTGGTGTTAAGGCCAAGAGGCACCTGTCGTGAGCATGTTCATGTTCATCGTATGACCCTGAGTAATCATTAGTTTCCAGGAAAAGTGTGTTGTTGTGGTTTCAGATTCTGTGGAGAGCACAAAGAGCAGCACTGTTGTCATTATACGTCACAAAATGGCTGCGTCTCAAGTTGTGTGTTTGCTGCACCCGGCTCTCAGGGGCTGTGTTCTCTGCTGGGTGGCTGCATGGAGGCCTTTGGGGCTGCATTTTCGTTCTTGTTGGCACCATTTTCTTGTGGCACCTGCAGATGGACAAAATGTTTCTGGGTCAGTTCTGTAAGACTTGGCTATAGTGACAGTCTGAGACTTATACTCCTTTTAGAGGTTTTTTTTTTTTTTTTTGAGATGGAGTCTCACTCTGTTGCCCAGGCTGGAGTACAGTATACAATCTTGGCTCACTGCTACCTCCGCCTCGCGGGTTGAAGCAGTTCTCCCTGCCTACGCCTTCTGAGTAGCTGGGACTACAGGCACATGCGACCACGTCTGGCTAATTTTTGTATTTTTTTTTTTTTTTTTTTTTTTT